TTTTTTTTTTTTTTTTTTTTTTTTTTTTTTAATAATTTAATAGAAATAAAAGAAAATCGATTTTAGACAGAGTCAGACTGATTCAGTTTAAGTACTCCTACAGTTCGTCTCTCACAATCCATTGAGCAAGAGTTTACCACAATGAACGTTGGCATGCCAAAGTTGTATAAAGATATAGCAGTGTATATAGTATTTAGTATATATGTTTAGATATCTTTATGATTTACCAATACTACGCACAAGACTTGCTGCTGTTGCTCTTGTTAGCCGCTAGCTGAATAGCTGCTAGCTGGCAGTAATAAGAAATGCAGAGTATATGATATGTACATGGAGATAAAGGTTATTTATTTACAATTTACATATTGTTGACGAGAGAGAGAAAAAGAGAGCAGTATATATATATAGATAAAATAAGTATATTATATATGAGATATTTATAGGTTTAGTTTGAGCTACGGTTTACTTTCAAAATACAAAAGCCAAAAGGTACAAACTACGCGACTTGTTGCAGTTTCTACATTTGATGCAGTGGTCTCAACTACGGTCTCTACGTAGGCAACGGGGTGCACTCGATGCGTACTTACTCCACGGTTGCATTCGTCTCCGCATTGCCTGTCGTTTCGGCCACCACTGTAGCGGCCACCACTGTAACGACACTCGCCTCGCTCGCCTGGGCGCTCAGCTCGGCCAGCTCCTCGAGCGAGGGCTTGGGCGTGGGCGGCGCCTCCTCCTCGTTGGCCAGCGCCCTCTCGATCTCTGGCTCAGGCGTTGAGGTCTTCAAGCTATCGCCGTCCGGCTCCAGAGCAGGTGTCGGCGCTCTCGATGAGCTGGTCTCCGTATTCTCAGCGTTCGTCTTGCTCTCCAGGTGCAAGCCCTCCATTACCTTGTGCTTGGCCTCCTCCAGTGCTTCGCTGCCCTCCCTGAACGCACTGCCCAGCTCGTTGGTAATGCCCGCCACGGCTGTGCTGACTGTCTCCTTGGCCGTGTCCACGGTCGAGCTAATGGCCTGTGTGGCGTCTGCAAAGGCACAAAATGATTGACAAATTGTTCAAATCTATTCATGTGGCCATAATTGAGTGGGCCGTTGGCGTAATTGTCAGCAGGCCAGGCCATTGACCCACAGCTGTCAATTAGACTGCAATCGATTTATTTCTGATATGTGAGCACTGTGAGGAAGAGGAGATACCCTGTGTGCAAGTTGCATGTAGATCGATTTGATAGTATGATAAATAAGCAGCAATTGTTTAATGATATTTATTTAGATCTAGTTTTCCGTCGCACTATATGAGATTTTCATGAGCACAGCTGTAGAGTTAGTTTATAGGTAAAGTATGATATAACAGGGTGAAAAGCTTTATGAAAACTTTATATATATACGCATGCTGTAGAATTTACATATATCATATTACAGTCTCGATAATGTATACCGAGATAAATAGAAAACCGGTATAAATCGAAAAAAAATTCCTTCAAAAAAAATTATTCTCGATAATTATCGATAGTTTGAATTTCTGTGTAAGTCGAAAAAAACTGAGCCCCTTGCCATTTCGAACTGTCGGAACTCGACTGTATTTTATATTCATATTAAACATTCCTTAATCATTCTATTAAGCATATAATAAAAATATTTCTAGCTAAATATAAATGATATAAAATTAGTTAATACATGATCTTCATATCTGTCGCCTGTAGATTTTACATATTTTAACAAATTATTTTATATTTATATGCTGTTGCTCCAAAGTATTCCCTAATCCTTCTGTGAAGTACACAATGCAAATATTTCACTCTTGACTAATAACTTTAGGCAAATAGAAAATCCCAAAAGGATTTTCAACACAACTTTCATAAATCTTGCAGAGCTCTGACTCCCTTCGTAGTACAACCCATAATTAGTTAATTTTACCATCTAATTAGATATGTTTGCTAGTTGCTCAACAGTTTTTTTTGTTCTCTAGTTTTTCTTTTCAACGGCAAATTGATTCAATCAATCAATGTGCCATTTGCCCTAGCAAAATGCCCAGCAACACGTACGCTCCTCAAACTCAATATGCAAATTTCGCGTTTTTTTTTTATTTTTTTTTATTATTTAAAATAGAAGTCGAGTGCTCCAATTTGCTGGTCACGCAATAAACTCGTTTTTCTTCATATGCTATTCATATAAATATGTGTGTGTATGCGAATATATTTATGTGTGAGAGTGTATATATATGTATGTATTTGCTTATATATTGTTAGTCCTTGTAGAGCAACGTCGCCTGCACAATTGCCCTTGATTAGTTGGGCATTATTATTTTATTATTTTAGGCATTGGCTCATTATGTCAACTGTTTATGTGATGGCCTAGCACAATATAAGGCGCGAGTTCAAAGGTCAACTACGTTACTTTCATTACGCTAATGAATGATGTGCTTCAATTGATTTGCTGTTGCGCCCAATGCAAATATTAAGTATACGCACAGGCTCGACTACAACTGTGTGTAAATATTGAGAAGTGCAATTTTAAATGTCAACCAAACACACAGACACACACATACACACACACACCTGCAACTGCCGCTTCGCCTTGCTTTTGGACATCGCCTGCCACATGTGTGGCAGCTTTTAGCATTTCGCTGCCAGCCGTTGCAACCATCGGAGTGCTGCTGGCGCAGCCCATGGCTGCTCTCTCTCTATATATATATATTTATATGGACGAGTATATATAGAACTTTACACCTTTGTTTTGTAGTTATTTGAAATTCATATTGTAGCGTCAAGCGTGCTATATGTAAAAGCAAAAGTTGCCAATCTCAATATTAGAACACAACGCGCCCGCCTTTGCTCACGAACTCAACGCAACTGACGAACTGACCCGAAAGTACGGTCAGTCAGGCTTTGGTCATTTAGCAATGGCAACAGTACTAACAATATCAGCAACAACTACAACAACATCAACAACTACTTACATACTTACAATGAGCACTCGTTGTCGTCGTAGTGGAGCACGCAACAGGACCTTTTGGCCATTCGTGTGTGCGTTTGGCAATTGAAGTGAACCAAATTGTTGAGGTCATGCGCGTTGGGCGCACATTTTATAGGGCTAAAGGGTTTTCGTATCGCTGTTCGCTGCAATGGCTAAAATAAAAACATACTCAAATGGGCTAAATAGGAGTGTTCAGTGTGTGTACTCTGACCACTTCTAGCGTGTCTAGATGGCGTGTCTGACTGCGCTTTCCGCCAGCCGATAGGTGGCGTGTCAGTGTGCTCTCTATGTGTGTGTGTGTGTGTGTGTGTTGTGGCTGCCACATATGACGTACTTTTTCACTTGTTGGTCTAGTTTGCTGGGGTTCTATGACAAATGAAAAGAAAAACGGGAACAGTTATGGTTATAGGGTAGGTCGCTGGGTATATACAGTTATATGTGGGGATAAGGGGATACATGAGTTGCAGCAATTATGTATGAAATGAAAATAGAATAGGAAGATATATTCTAGATATTTTTAATATATGAGACATAATATTTGTATAAGTAAAAGCAAAAGCAATCATAACTAAAAGTAGACTGACTGATTTTGGAATATAGGGAGTATTTTATTTGTATATTATA